CTCTTCCACATTGAAGACAAATACAATCTGTCCCCTGTCCAGCTCCCTGGTTTTGCTTGTTTCGGGACTGCCTCTTTGCCTCGGCCTGCTGTACAAGTGTCTCTTCAAATTGGGAGAGGCCATGATGCACCGCCTGCCTCCAGGCTGAACGCTCAGACGTCAAGGTTTCCCATCTGTTGAGATCCATTCCTAAGGCCTTCAGATCCCGCTTGCAGATGTCCTTGTAACGCAGCTGTGGTCTCCCTCTGGGGTGGTTTCCCTGCACTAATTCTCCATACAGGAGATCTTTTGGAATCCAACCATCAGCCATTCTCATGACGTGCCCAAGCCAACGTAGAAGGCGCTGTTTCAATAATGTATACATGCTGAAATTTTCCTGATTGTCCCCTTGATTGAAGAAATTCTTAGCACCCTATAATGAATTGTTGGATAGTTCAGTGGTTCAGGTATCTGGCTGTGGAGCCAGAGTTGTGGAGTTTGATTCCTTGATAGGGGCTGGACTTGATGGTCCATAGGGTCCCTTCCAACTCAGTAGTTCTAAGATTATTATTATAAACTCACAGTAGTGCTGATAAATTGTTGGCAGTGCTGATTCATCATAGGCTTTGTCAATGAAATGCAATGGATTTCAGAACTACTGTAGCAGGATCAGCATGATTTCCACCTAGAAAGTGATTTTTTTTCAAACATGAGGCTCCTCCTTCAGAGGGTGGATAACTACACTGATTAATATTGATTAATAATAGAAATATATCTTCTCTGCTCTCTTTTTCCCATTATCAGTTATTTGATGTTGACAGAACAGCACACAAAAGAAACACAGGGGAACAAAGGTTGTGCAGATATTTAGGTTGTTATAGATTACAGGAAAACTTAAAAAATGTTTTATCTCATTACAGAAGGGAAATAGTGTTTTGTGTGACCTCACATCACTCATGTAGTCAGAGAGTTGTGGCTCTAGAACTGACTCAGTTTGCCAGTTCATCTGGTGAAGCCAGGCTGTGGAAAAAAAAAAAGTATTTTCATGTTAAAACCCCAAAGTGTTAATCTCTGCTGACATTTGGAAATTGGCTGACTGCAGTTGAATAATATACTAATGGCAGAGAGCGTATATAGAAGGTTTTCTTTTAAACAGGTCTTAAGCAACATGGTATTATATAATCTGTAGTGGTCACAACTTGCAGATTTGCCAGTGGAAATATTTTATCATAGTAATGTAGCAGAGTTCTTAGACATGTCCTGAAATGAATGCATATGTAAGAGATCATTAGGACTTTTTAAAAGATTGTATTCTTTTTCAGGTTACTACTTGATGGCAAACACAAAATTTACATCACAGCCTGGGTATATTGGCCGTTTATATAGTCCCACTTTGCCAGGAAATTTACAGTATTGTCTGAGGTTTTATTATGCCATTTATGGCTTTTTCAAAATGAGGGATACCTTGGCTGTTTACATCTTTGAAGAGAACCATGTAGTTCAAGAAAAAATTTGGTCTGTCTCGGAAACTCCCAGAGGAGTCTGGATTCAAGCTGAAATCACCTTCAGAAAGCCCATGCCTTGCAAGGTAACAACCAGTGTTTTCTGCCTAGGTAACTGTTGTTTTCTGTTTGCCATAAATGAGTCATCTGGGTTTTACAATAACAGCTGAAGTGTAGGTGTCTCCCCCCCCCTATATTTTCCAATTAAATTTTCCTCTCAGATGGAATGTGACCATACATGAACATATAGTAACCAAATGAAGGGTGTTCTAAAGGAAGCATTATTTTAAGTTAATCAAAGCAGCATGGAGTAGAATGGAACATGATGACTTCTCTCTCAGAAGTCCAGATATTATCTATTAGCTTAAGTTTGTCCACTTACATTTGAACTTGTTTTATTAATAACCATATAGTTGAGATTAAAAAGAATAAACCCAACCACATGCAAGATAGTTTAGTCCAGTCATATGACCACCTTAAAGTGTCTGGCTGAATAAAAAACTGAGAAAATTAGATTGTAATTTATTATTTATGAAATTGGTTTTTTTTCAAACTTTCCAGTAAAACTAGTCTTTGTTGTGGTTATAGTCATGTACTTCCACTAGCTGCAACATGTTTGGCTTTTGCATGAAAAGAAGGCCAAGAGATGGAAGTATCAATACCCACATTTGTGAAGTACCAAGTACTGAGTGCTTTCACATTTTTGTTTCAAAGCCAATTGGCAGGATATATAGCAGCAGCAACATGGAATGACAATCCATTATGACAATCTCCAGGGATTGGAGGAATCATGATTAGTCTGTCTATGTGTATGTATGTCAGCAAAGAGTATGGCATGAGGAGCATGTTGAATCATGTGAGATTGCCCAATGTGGGATCAGCGTGGGATCAGTCTTGCCATATTCTTTCATTCCACACATTGCTGTTATTTCCCTTCTTTTATTGACTTTATTTTTTTCAAATATATCTATGAAATGATGCCCCAGACCATTATGTTAGGCCCTGCAGTTTGTATTGCAAACAGTGAGTACAAATGGCTAATAGATAAGTGGTAGCATGTCATGTCATAGTATGCAAAACAGTGCAGGTTTCCATACCATATTTCTGTGATTTTTTTTCCACCAGTCAGACTAAAGCCAAGGTAAGCTGGGTTTTCCTGTTAGGAACATAACTTTTTTGTTTGTTTGGAAAAGCTGTAAAATATTACAGGGAAAAAAATAACCAAATACATATGCAACAGTGTAACTGGCTAGGTACTGTGTTTCCCCAAGAATAAGACAGGGTGGAAAAGCTGTAGAATATTACAGGGGGGAAAAAATAACCAAATACATATGCAACACTGTAACTGGCTAGGTACCGTGTTTCCCCAAGAATAAGTCAGGGTCTTATATTAATTTT